TCCGCTTGTGGTCGGAGTAGACTCAGGCCACTCTTTCCTGCTTGTCTGATCCATTCTCAAATTTCCAACATACAGTACTTTTTTTCTGTTTCTCCATAAATCCCCCTTATTCATAAGGATAACTAAACCCTCTGGCTCCTGGCTTTGCTTTGGCATTTCAGTACTTGCAGACAGTTATATGATGTTCCCACGTAATTACATTTAGCATAATGATGTGTGCCATTTTAATGATCTCTCCATATCAGTCAGTTCCCGTAGCCTATGCTGCAAGTAATTTAACTTGTTCTCTCAATTCACTGCAGGTGGCTGACTTCTTGATAGACATTCTGTTCACAAAGTAAATAATCACTGATTAGAAGAAAACCTTATGCATTTTGTTATGCTCCTCTCAAATTTCTTTGGTAAATCATATTTTGTGGCTGGATGAAATCAGAAGCAGCATTTTAGATAGCAAGCAGTACTAGAGCCACACTGAACAATGCAGGTCCAAACTCACCTGTACCTCCATAGGTGGGTAGGGCTGCATTCCCAGATTCTGTATCTCTACTGTACCATTCCCAGTCATGGAGGTAGATGCACTGTACACTTCCACAGCACCACTGCTACCAGCACCAGCCTGACCTGGTGGTCCAAGAGTTGGAGGGGGAGGAGGGGGAGGTTGAGGTGGTGGTGGTGGAGGCGGCGGAGGTGGTTGAGAGAGGTATCCTGCTCCAGTGTGCATATTCAGGCTGTTCTAAAAAGACAAAATGAGGAATTAGCAAAACTTTGGGGGAAAAGCATCAAAAAGATTTGTATTCAGGCTCTTGTCTCCATTCATAAACCTTATTCTTATTGCTATCATTATTGGATACAATGTAACTAAAATACACAAAATGTTAATGTTAAATGTAATTAAACTATCAATAAGATTAAAAACAGTTTGGAACATGTCATTAAATTATAAAATTATAAAAATTATAAAAAGCCACTTGAAAAGCAGTGGCTTAAAAGCAGGACATCATTAAATTAAAAGCCCTTTAAAAATGTTCGGTTCTTGAAATGCTGTCAGAATAAAAGTTTTTGTCTGCTGTTGGAGGGATAACAAGGAGCAGACCATTCTAGCCTCCATATGAAGGCCATACAAAGTCCTCTGAGTGTAGAGGCACCACCTCCAATAAGTTTAGACTTTCCTTCTGAGTGAATGCTGTTGATATGTGGTGAAGTAAGACTAGATATGAAGGTATATATAAACAGATCTGGTACAATCAGGCTAACATCATATAATTATATTGAGCTTTCTCCTTCTCCAGACTGGTAGCATGTTACATTACTTCTATTCAAAACAAGGATTCTTGTGATACCTAGCAAATATTTCCCAATTTCCCAACTCCATAAATAAAGACATCCCAAATACACAAAAGTTTTCTACTTTGCAAAAGTGCAAAACATCTTTTAAGAAAAATCTCAGGAAGACAAAAAGTGTACGTAAAAGAATAAACTTCAACTGTGTATTATTATAAAACTCCACTGCTTCCAAAAGCCATTGTTAAAGCCACTGTTTGATTGTCTATGGAGAATAGAGTAGGAGGAAGAATGGGATAGGAAGGAGGAAAAAATGGAAACACACATGCTGGGGGGTGCTGGAAGAGAGAGAGATTATAGAGACAGAGGCAGAAAAGGAGTGGCAAAACAGAAATTAGAATGGGGTAGCCTGAAAAAGCAAACAAGCAAAGAGAAGCTGCAGCTGGGAGAAGGAGGCAGGACTTAGAAGATGACAAGAGAAGGGATGATTAAAGGTGAAAATGCAAGTAAGAAATGTTGAAAATAAATAGCGAACAAATGAATCAGTGAGGACCAAGTAAGAGCAGAGGTTGAGAGATGAAGTTACAGCAATACAAGTAACAGAGAAGAAAAAAAGGAAAGGTGAAATAGGAGACACAGCAGGTGAAAAGGATGAGGAATGATGTGGTAGGAAGTAGTAAAATTCTTAAGAATAAACCTCTGGGAAATATTGTTCTCCAACCTGAGAATTTTTCAGAATTTGCTTAATATTTTTTAAACAATTTTGCAATTTGTGTCTCTTCAATGCAATTTTTAAAAACATTGACGTTTCTAATTGTTAAAATGAAAATGAGTCATACCTTCCTTTCCTTGCCCCAATACTTTTACATATCTCCTGGTTTTTCTCTTTTGGTAAGTGAAACATCCGAACTAGTATTTCAAAATTATAGCCTGATTCTCTCAAAACATTCTGGAATTTTGCTTATTTTGGGCTGATCCGATTCATGGTTTGTAGTCTATCTTAAAACAGAATGGATCTGTTTGTGTAGTTTCTGGACTGATATCCCAAAACACATCTGCTAATTGCAGAAAGGAGACTGTTGAGCAACAGAGTGGTCCAACAAAATCCCTATTTGGTCCAACCCATCCACCCACTTCACAAAGATGGGAGGGAAGATGGGGGGAGACGGTGGAAGGCAGAAGTAATAGGGAGGAGAACTGGATTGCAAGTGTGGTGATGGTGGGGTATGGGATGGATGAGACAGTAGCATCAGAGGGGAAGATGGAGGAGGATAGTTGTATTGGAACGGGTGATGGAAGATGAGCCTGATGGAAAGTAAACATGAATTTTAGGATGGTGAGAAAAGTTCCATAACATTCTGAAATGTTCTGTAAAGTCCTCGACCATTGTGAATGCTAAAGAAAGCTGTATAACATTCAAGAATGATTGAGGTCAAATACAATATTTTCTTTAGAGATAAAGGAAAAATTAGAGAGTTCTTAAAAATTCTTACAAAGTAATATTTTGGAGAATATTTTCAAATATTTTCACCTTGTATCACTAGTGGGAAGATGAACAAGTAACACAGAAATGTATTGTGTGGTGGCATCATTGTACACTGGTTTGAGTGTTGGACTAAGAATCTGGGAGACCAGGGTTCAAATCCTCACTCAGCCATGGAAACCCACTGGGTGACCTTGAGCAAGTTACAGTCTCTCAGCCTCAGAGGAAGGCAATGGCAAACCCACTAAACAAGTCTTGCCCTGAAAACTCCATGAAAGGGAAACTATTGGAAGGCACACAACATGGGACACTAAACCAACTAATTAATCAATGCAATATTTTGTTATGAGCTCCCATGTTTACTATGTACTAATAATGAACTCATTCTCAGAATGCAGCACAAATGACATCACCCTTCCACAACAGGAACATATCACCAAGTTCAAGGCAACCTCAAGATTTGAAAACACAAAAATCACTTGGAGGAAAAAAAAGGAGGATAACCTCAAAACAGTCCAAAGTGGATTTCCGTTGGTTCATCTTTTGAGACACGAGTGGGCAATTTTTTAAGTTAAGGGCCATATTTTCTCAGGACTTAGGAAAACTTCTCAGGGACTGCATACAAGTTCTAGAGATGAGACATCTTTTCTTTCGCCAAATCCTGCTCTTTCTCTCTCTTTCTCTCTCTTTCTCATTGAAGATCCTCCAATAATGTTTTGGTGAAAAAGTTCCAGTTGCACAAATGGAAACTTTTTCTTTGTAAGTACTTGGCGAGGGATAGGAAGTGAAGCAGGAAGTTCGGCCATGGATTGAAATATTTTACTGCTTTAGGATATCAGAAAATTTGTTGTTTCTCTTTTTCATGCATCAGCTTTACCTTTATGAAAATGAGAGATACCAAAACTGCACGTACTTAAGCTGATGGCATACCACAGATTTCTACAACGTTTTGTTTTCCATTACCTTATTTTCCTGCGTATAAGACTACTTTTTTACCTGAAAAATCTGTGGTTAAAGTGGGGGGGGGGTCGTCTTATACGCCGGGTATAAGGGTAAGGAGGATAGAGGTGCTAAAACTCTATATTTTGACTGGAAAAATGGGGGGTCGTCTTATACGCCGGGTCGTCTTATACACCGGAAAATACGGTACTTTTCTCAGTGCTTCATGATATTCACTGTCATTTTCTCTTCCATACATGAGAGTCTGGTATGCAATGGCTGTAAGACCTCCCATCCAACACAGATCAGATTGTGAAATGACTCATTTTGTAATGACTGATGTATATAGTCGTCCCTCCCCATTCAGACTTCCCATCACGGATTTGAGTTTCCACACATGGCAAGCCAGGAGGGACAAAATAGTGCACGTGTGCTGGCGCATGTGGGACCACACCACCATTATAGTCAATGGGACTTGAATAGCTGGGCTTTTTCTATTTCGCGGGGGGAGGTGTCTGGAACAGATCCCCCACGAACGGCGAGTGATGATTGTACAGTGATGGCCAAAAAATTATTACTTTACACAGGTGTTTTGAAAGGTTTTTAGATTGACATGTATATTTTTTACAACTTTACAGCAAGTTCTCTACCGTTGGTGCTGTTTTACCAGAGTTTATATGCATCTTAAAATAACAGAAAAACATTCTGTTTACCTGAACAGAAGGCTGTACTGTGGACATTGGTTGGTCCAGAGTTGTAAAAGCAGACATAGCTGACATCAGGACTTCATCACTTACTAAAATATTCCCTTGAACTAATGTCTGGATCAGAGGAGAGGGCGGGACCGTAATGTATGTTGAGATCTGTTAGGAAGAAGGTTGTGGTTGTTGTTGTATGTGTTTTTTTAAAAAAACTTACTTTGGATCTTAGCTCAGAAATCAAAAATTAATTCTTGTGATCCGCATTAAAATAAGCTATAACAAAATTCCATCTTTCAGAAAGGGTGAAGTAAGTAGCCATCGAATACTACAATGTCTGAAAATCTTGTCTTGGAAAATTATGACAGTACTCAACATTTACACTAAATTTTGGAGTGTAAAAAGCACTTCACAAATCCTTACAATACTCCTATCTCATTAATTTATTGTTCTACTTTATGCAGCTGACTGAGAGTGAGGGGAGATGTTCTCTTGATTTCTTCCTGGAAAAGGTGGAAATATAACAGAGAACAGTTAAATGTAAATTAGACAGGGACAAAAGCTGTCATATTTGTTATTATTTATAAGCAGTATAGTGAGCCAGTGTGGCATAGTGGTTTGAGTGGTGGACTACCACTCTGGAGACCAGAGTTTGAATCCCTGCTCAGCCATAGAAACCCACTGGGTGACCCTTGGGCAAGTCATACTCTCAATCCCAGAAAACCTAATGATAGTTTCGCCTCAAAATCACCATAAGTCAGAAACAAACTTGAACGCACACAACAACACACAGTTTTGTGAATGCTCCTTTTAATCACAGGAAGATACTCCTTTGAAAGTGCCCCCTCCCCACATTCTGAAATAGCAGAGCCAGTATAGTATAGTGGCTTGAGCTATGGACTGTGAATCTGGAGAGCAGAGTTCAAATTCCTGCTCAGCCATGGAAACTCATTGGATAATAATAATAATAATAATACTTTTTATTTATATCCCGCCCCTCTGCAGAGCAATCGGGGCGGCTTACAATATTACAATTTCCATTAAACAAAATATAACATCCCGAATCCCACCCATTTTCTTCTTATTTTAGACTGGGTGGTGCTGGGCTTAGTGTCTCTCCCCCAGATGACATCAGATGGTAATGGAGGGAGGGCTCTTCTTATTTTAGGCCTGATGGTGCTCGGCCTAGTGTCTCTCTCCCAGATGACATTGGATGGTAATAGAGGGAGGATGGATGGCCTTGGGCAAGTGACAATGTCTCAGCCTCAGAAGAAGGTAAAGGTAAAACCCTTCTGAACAATTATTGGCAAGAAAATATTGCCCATGATAGCTTCACCTTAGGGTCACCATAAATGAAAAACAACTTAAAGGCAAACAACAATTCTCCAAAAATCCTAAAATAAACCGATGGTTTATGGTTATGATATTCTATCCATTATTTATGGCACAAAGACTGTAAAACATTCAGCATTTTTACCTGTCGATTGGTGGTCTGAGCCTGCTGAACTGATGTAATGGATGGTGTGTACCCACTGTTAGTGGCCAGGGAGACTGTAGCCAATGAGGGGGTATTGCCTTGACACTGTTCTCGCTTATGGATCATGAATGCTGGCAGCGAGTTGAATTGCTTCTTACACTTCCCACAGAGGAATACATCCTCATCATCTGTGATAAAAAAAAGGGGGAATTATTGATCTGACTCTTGAGATTATTTTCCGTTGAATTCAAGAATAAATACAACTTCAATCTAAATTTGAGAAAATTAACTTTTTGGGATTATAAGGCCTAAAGTTCCTCAGCATGTTGGCTGGGCAATTCTGGGAGTTGTAGTAGCCCATAAAGTAAAGTTTTCCAAGCTATGGTTTCAGCAAGAGAAAGCTGAACAGAGGCAGGTGAATTGCCAAGTTTTGGTATTCTCATTGTGGCAACAACCAATGTTTAGTTTTCTAGCAGTAATTTCCATCTGAAACCAAGTTCATGCTTTACACAGTAATTATTTTTCTCTCAATGTCTGTGAGGGAGATGCACATTTCCAAATACCAGGAAACATGCAATGGATATGCACAAGGGAGTAGGCATAGCATATCTAGTACACATGTGGAGATACATATTTCCGTTCATTTTTTGTATTGACCAAATAAAACAACTTTCCCTTCTTTCCCTCTTCCTTTCTTTAAAATCTTTAATCTTAATTTGGAGTGTAGGGTTTGATTCTGCGCCTTAACAGCAAAAGAACTATTTCCTCCCACATGCCATACTGCTTGCTTATGCTGCCTACTTGGAAGAAAAGGAAAAAGTAGATAGACTGACTTGTAGAGTGGGTAGCTGGAGTGGGCTATTATACCTACCCTGGTCTTAAATTACCTAGAAATTCTCTCCTCATCAAATGAATTATAGATCAAATGGCATGTGACAAAGAGTGAATGAAATGGAAAAGTCTAGGCTGATTTTGGCATGATCATACCTAGGCATCTCCACACCTTGCCCATTCTAGCTCATTATACCCATCAGACTGAGTGAGTCTTGGGGAAATTAAGGACTCCTTGGCTTCGGCATTGAAACTGCCTTAGTTGCCCCATTGGACGTGAGAAGAGAGAGACATGGGAAGCATGGTTTTGTTAATTCTACTGGATCTCTGAGCACCTTTTGATGCCATGATATCTTTCTGGACCAATTACATATATTAGGCTAGTAGAACTAGATGACTTTTGCTTAGCCCCAAGGCATATTTCCATGGGTTCTTCCTAGGTTCCAGCCATATATTAAAATGCTGAGAGAAATCACCTGGAAATGCAGGGTGAGGTACCATACCCATTTGTATTGCTCTTTATCATCTGCCAGTACTTGTCAGGCTGATGCAGGACATGATTTTTCCCCCTAATGTGCCAGAGACCATCATAATATTTGTATAATATATACATATCTAATATCTGGCTACAACTATTTCTTTCTTTTCTGGAAACTCACTGCAGACTGGCAGCCAATGGCTTTCAGATTTGTACCTTCAGTGCACTGATCTAAACCATGTGAAACAGCTGACATGCTGGACCAGTGCCTGGAGTCAGTAACGGTTTGGATGAAGGGCAATTAACTGAAGACTAATCCTGACGAGTCCGACCTGCAAATAGATGATCCCCTACTTGGGAGAGATGGTGTAAAGGATGCATTCTACCTGAAAGAGTCGGAGCATGCTAGGGATGTTACTAGACACATCTTTGTCACTAGATGTTGCCATGGTATCATGCCAACATCTTTTTTCTATATGGGTCATTCCACACCGGCACAGCCTATCTTCTTTCTCAACATGCATACTCTCTACAGTTCCAGCTCAAATCTCATTCAGTTCTCTTTCTTCTTTCACAGCTGCAACATTTAAAGGAACTTCTCTTTTAAGACCTTGAGTTGAACATGCTATCCTATCTTTTTAATTTCAGTCTGTCCCTGCTCTAGTATCCTTCAATTGGATAACTGAAATGTATTAATATGGGGATGTTCAGAAACGCCCATTAGTACAAAGTGTAGGGGTAAAACTTCTAATCTGTACTGTTTATTGGGATTATATAAAGCAAGCTTCACTTGTTGCTAATCCATTTCCAAAACAAATTCAATTATAAAGCCCTAAATAGCTCGAAATTCAGGTTGCTATAGATGCTTGCTCCTATATCAAACTCCTCACCCCACAATACCACCTAGAGTGAGTTATGTAGTAACCAATGGGCATTTTTTATTGTGGTAACACTTTGTGAAATCTCTCCCCAAGAAGCCTTCTTTACAAAGCCTGGGAAAGTTATTTATATGGACTGCAGCACCCAGAATCCTCTAGGCACCATGGACACAATTTTGATCATAGCCAGACATTTCCACATTCCATTTGGGTGTAAGACCTAGGTCCTTTTGTTCACCATAACCTTTTAGGTAGGTTTGCTGATTTTAACTGAACTCCATCTTGGGCTGTTTTACACATATTTAGTGAGTGTTTTTAAATTGAATATTGTGGTTTTTATGCAGCTCTGGAAATTCATTCATATATGGACATTTACATATTTAAAATACATAAGTAGCACTTTCTGCTACAATTAGAAAAGTACCATGGCTGCAATCAGATATATGTACTCTAATGTAAATTACAAATACTCCTTATTTCATCCTGAAAAAAACATGTCATGCATACAACTATGTGGCATTTCCTATCAGGAAAATATTCATAAGCATAAAATCAGACTCCAGAAAGAAAAATCTTGACTGAATTTTATTAAAAGTATAGCTAGGTTACAACTGGACTACATGTGTAATAAAGGGCACTGATTTCTGTACATTTTTCTATATTCTAGTGAATATGGTGCTGTAATACTGATCCTAAATTGCTTTATGTATATCACTATTCCCCAAACTGGCACCCTCCAGGCATGTGGTACTACGACTCACATCATCCTTAGTTCACATGGTCATGAAGGTTGCAGATAAAGGAAGTTGGATTCCAACACATCTGAAGGTATCAGGTGGGGAAAGCTTTTATATGATTTCATGAAACCAATGCTGGAAAATAACTCCTTGAAGGATATGAGTTTTGGTTCCCTCGAAGGCTATGTGTCACCTGCATTTCCACATAGGGAATTAGCTCACAGCACGGTTTAAAAAATATTGCAAGCAAACAATAAAGCTACAACAGAACTGGCAAACTGGGAGATGTAAATTCTGACTCTTCCCCCCTCCCCACCCAGTTTCCTTTAATATGCACACAAAGGACTCACCCATGGCCTGAATGGTGGTGGATGCATTAACAGTTTGTGCCGATGGATCTGCTACTCCTCCTTGGCCATCTAACAAGGACTGAACAGCTAGGACTGTCTGATTATCCATTCCTGAAGACGCCAGAAATAGTGATTAGAGGATTGGTCTTTAAAAATAGCCATAAACAGTTTCAAAGAAAAACCAGACAACTAAATCTGAATAGCTTGTTTTAAGACTTATGTATATTAATCACATTTAACCCAATGTCTCAGTCAAGTTCTACTGCAGCTTCTCTTTTAATCCTACAATGAACCACCAAATTACGAGGGGGTATCATAAAGTAATAATTATCACATGGAAGTTACTATGGTATATTGATGAAATTTTGTCAGTATCATTATTGGTCCCTAAGTGCATGATGTTGAGAAAATCAGCTCGTTGTGTCCTTTTGTTACAGGTTGTGCCAGAAGTGACTAAAGTGTAAGTACGAGGGGGTACTGTAAAGTAATAATTATCACCCAGAGGTTATTGTGATATATTGATGAAATTTGTCAGTGTCATAATCACCAAGTGACTTTTTCTTTTCCCAAAAATGAAAAATCCGTTGAGGGGTCATCAATTTGACAACACAGATGATGTCATTCATGAAGTGGGAGAGTGGTTTAAGGCACAATCTGCAGACTTCTACAATAACAGTATTCATAGGGTCAAGAAATGCTGGGAAAATGTATAAATCTGGATGGTGAGTACATAAAGATAAGTTAACAACTACAAATCTAAACAAACTTTCTGTCAAATTTTTAAAAGGTGATAATTAAAACATTACAATACCCCCTCGTATATTACAACCATCCACAAAATGTCCTCACACAACAATCTTCAAAATTTATTATGTGCATTTTTCTATTTAATCAGATTAATATTAATCTGATAATTCAAC